GTCGCGACAACCTTTCGTTCCCTTTCATGAGAATCAAAAAATGAACTCAGAACATAAAGGGGAAGGACGGAATGTTTAGTATCAAACAGCGTTGCCAAGATAAAATGTTTTGGATTGACTCCCAGTGCCAAAGTACAATACATATTAACATTCCTTATATATTTTTGGAAACTTGTTCTACCCACACTGGCTTTAATTTTAGTTTTTAAAGATGTATGGGTGTTTTTTGTTTTGTTTCGTTTTGTAATGTCAACAGTTATTTTAGTAGAACATGAAAGCAATTTCTAGCATATGATCCTCGTCTTTATGACACAATGCCTTGTTGGGAAATAGTAGAATCATAAGCCTGAGGTGATTTGAAAGGTCAAGATTTGAGCCTACTTTTTGTCATTGACCTGACTGACCATAGGTGAATTATTTGTAAGATGAGGTACACAATTACCTCACTCAGTTGTGGAGATTTTCAATTGTAGTTATAAATGAGGGATTTTGAAATGAAACCTAATAAATGTGACAGAAAATATGCACGATTTAATCTTCTGAAATCCACACATACAAAAGAAAAATCTGTAGAATTTTGTTAGAGAAATGCAGTTAAGAGGAGAGTCCGTTTTAAAATGTTAGTGATAATTACTCAAGAGAAGTCATTTTAATTTATTAAAAAGTAGAACTTAACAATAAAGGCAGCCTCTACTTTTTGACTCATTAAATCCAGGAAATCTCTGACCTTCTCCAGTGACCTCTTCCATATTCATACTTCCCTGCGTACTTAGCATTTAGTTGCGGTAGTTTTCCACTTAGATTGTGAGCTCCTGCAAAGCATGATGGTGCCCTCCATTTCATATCTAAGAGCCTAGCACAGTGTTCAACGTATAGTCGGTATTTGATATTTTAATTAATTGTGATGCCCAGTTCTGACTGTTCATTAATAATGTTATATCCTTAATGTACAAACATTGGTGCCTTTGAATGTTTAAACGGGGAAATGTAGCCAAATAAGTGCTTATATGTAGCTACAAACAAAGAAACCTTTAAGCCTGGTTTTGTTTCATCTTTATTGGATTTTTAGTTGTTCTAATAGCTCAGATAGTACAGGGGTATATAAAAAACAAGTCAGTCACCTCTTCTGTTCTCCGGTCATTACTCTTTTCACTCTACCTTCCCCTGTCAGATAGTTATGATTATATAAATATTATTTGTCCTTTAATATCATGGACAGCACTCTAAGTAAATACATTTTTTTATATTTTGTACCATTTTAATTAATATGTGCCTTCTAGCTGTGGTGACTAATACACATTTAAACTTTGTTAAAAATTGTTTCCCTCGTGCTGTATTTCAAAAAGAAAAATGCCCCTTTTGTGGTAAAATATACATAACATAAAATTGACCATTTACACCATTTTTAAGTGTACAGTTTAGTTGCATTAAGTACAGTACCATTGTTGTGCAGACATAACCATCATCCATCTCCATAACTCTTTTCATCTTGCAAAAGTAAAACTCCTTACCCCCCCCCCAAACCCCAATTTCTGGCAACCAACATTCTAGTTTATGTCTCTGTGAATTTGACTATTCTAAGTACTTCATATAAGTAGAATTGTACTTTTTTATCTTCTTGTGACTGGCTTATTTAACTTAATATTAATGTCCTCAAGGTTCACCCATATTGTAGCATGTGTCATAATTCCCTTCCTTTTTAAGGCTGAGTAATATTCCATTGTCTGTGTTTACAACATTTTGTTCGTCCATTCATCTTGGGTCACTTCCACCTTTTTGGCTACTATAAATAATGCTGCTATTAACATTGGCATACAAATATCTATTCAAGTCCCTGCTTTCAAATTCTTTGGGTATATACCTAGAAGTGAAATTGCTGGATCATATGGTAATTCTATGTTATATTTTTTGTGGAACTGCCATACCGTTTTTTCACAGCAGCTGCACCATTTTGTATTCCTAACAGCAGTACACAAGTGCTCCGATTTTTCCACTTATTTCCTGTCTTTTTATAATGGCCATCCTAATGGGTGCGAAGTGATATCTTGTTACAACATTTTTTATTTGCGTTTCCCCAATGATTAGTGAAGTTGAACATCTTTTCATGTGCTTATTGCCTGTTTGGGTATCTTCTTTGGAGAAATGTTTTTTTAGGTCCTTTATCCATTTTGAATTGGGTTGTTTGTTTACTGTTGTGTTTTAGGCATTCTTTATATACTATTCTGGATATTAATCTCTTATTAGATATATGATTTGCAAATATTTTCTCCCATTCTGTAGGTTGCCTTTTTACTCTTGTCCTCTGATGCATAAAAGTTTTTTATTTGATCAAGTCCAATCTATCTTTTTTTTATTATTATTACTTGTGCTTTTGGTGTCATAGCCAAGCAATCATTGCCAAATCCAGTGTCATGAAGCTTTTCCCCTGTGTTTTTTTTTTCTTTCTAAGAATTCTATAGTTTTAGCTCTTACATTTAGGTCTTTGGTCAATTTGAGTTAATTTTTACAAGTTAAGGGTCTAACTTCACTCTTTTACATGTAGATATCTCATTTTCCCAGTACCATTTGTTGAAAAGACTGTCCTTTCCCCATTGAATAGTGTTGGGACCCTTGTCGAAAATCATTAAATCATATATGGGAGGGTTTATTTCTGGTCTTTCTATTCCCTAACTCATTTTTAATTGGTGTTATTGATCTGTAATATAGACACCTCACAGTTTATTCAGACATTCCTCTATTGGTGACCATATAGATTGTGTTCAGGCTTTTGCCACTACATGCACTGTTGCAGTAAACATCCTAGATTATATAGTCCCACATCCTGATGCTTTTATTTCTCCATAATGGATTTACAGAAGTGAAATTGCTAGTTAAAATATATATATCAAATTACATTTTTATCAGCCATAGAGGAAAGCCTGTTTCTCCACATCCTCAGTAGCATTTAGAAATCTTTTTAATGTTCCCCAATATGATCAGTTTAAAATGGTAAGAGGTCTTTATTAATTGGTATTTAACAGTGAAAAGTGAAAGGATACTGATAAAAACTGGAAAGACATTCACTCTTGGTTTTTAAAAAAACCTGTGTCCTTTCATAACATGAAAACTGCGAGTGAGAATAGATACTTATTTCTCTATGCAGTTGAATAAGTTAATATTTTGAAATAATCAGGTTTTAAGTGTTCTCTTGCTTTCAACCACTTTCTTGAAATATTTAAGGTAGCCAATGGCTTCTAATTTTCCCTAGCTTAATGCAGATACTGAAAGAGAAGAAGAAGAGTTTGAAGACAACATGGATGTTTTTGATGACAGCAGTTCCAGCCCTTCTGGCACCTTAAGAAATTATCCGCTCACCTGCAAAGTTGTTTATTCGTACAAGGTTTGTATTTCTCTAACACATTGCTCATATTAAATTGTAACGGCCCTGGAGACACATATAACTGTATCTACCCAGCCTCGCATACTGTGCTTAACATAAAACTGGTGTTCAGTTAATATTAGAGGTGCAGAGTCTAGGCTCTGATGTCATTTGCCTGGGTTAAAATCCTGTCTCAGGCCGAAACCGGTTTGGCTCAGTGGATGGAGCGTCGGCCTGCGGACTGAAGGGTCCCGGGTTCGATTCCGGTCAGGGGCATGTGCCTGGGTTGCGGGCACATCCCCAGTAGGAGATGTGCAGGAGGCGGCTGATCGATGTTTCTCTCTCATCGATGTTTCTGACTCTCTCTCTCTCTCCCTTCCTCTCTGTAAAAAGATCAATAAAATATATTTAAAAAAAAAAAACAAAAAAATCCTGTCTCAGCCTCTAAGGAGCAGTATGACCACACTAGTCCCTTAGTCTCTGTGAGCCTCAGTTTTCTTATCTGTAGTATGGGGATAATACTATAAGGCTAGTTGAAATTAAATAACACTTTTATAGCAAAGCACTTGGTACAGTGCCTGGCATCTGATAAACTTTCCATTCATAGAACTCTTACTCTTGTTATCAGTTGCCTGCTTAACACAAGACCCTCTATTAAGGTGATTCTCAAATTGATATTAAAATAAAAATTTTTTACAAAGCAGGTGGTTCATCTTTATCTTTCCTAGTCTTGATATAACTTAATATAACTTATATTAAGCAAGGACCTAGATAAATAGATGCCAGAATATCCAAACTTGGTTTAGTATAATAGTTCTCAATCTCACTCACCCCTGCCCTGCTTGCACATTAAGTTTTTACTTAGTTCCCCTCGTTTTCTCTTTCCCTCACTCCCCTCATCCAGTCCATCAGTCAGTCCTATTGAGTCCACTTTCAAAACGTATCCTGAATCTATTTCCTTTTCACCATCTTGGCCTGCCCTAGGCCATTGCTTTGATTATAGTAAATGGAAAAAAAACCCACTCGTAATTGGTGTCCCTTCTTCATACTTGCCTCCCAACAGTCCATTTTCCACTCTGCAGCCAGAATTATCTTTAACACATAAAGGAGATTATTTTGTTCCCCTGCCTGAAACCCTTTTAAGCTTCCCATCACATTTAGAAAAACAAGCTCTTCATTAGGGTCTGCAGTGTCCAGATAGGTCTGGCCCCTGCCGTTTGCCCTAGCTTCACGCCAGACCCTTCCCCCTCCTAACCCCTCACTCACTATACGTTGGCAACTCTGGCTGCCTTTCAGTCTTCAAAGGCACTAGGCTTCTTCCTGTCTTGATAACTTTGCACTTACTGTTCCTCTACCTAGAACTCTTTTCCCAAATCTTGTTTAGCTGCCCTCTGCTATTCACTGAGGCTCAGTTCAAATAGTGCCTCCTCAGGTCTCCCCTGACCACGTAAATACATAACTGACTGCTCAGTCACTCCTCTCTATCCCCTTGCCCTTTGCCCTCTTTTATCTACTATATAGCACTTGTCATCAACTACACTTAAACTTACTTGTTTTTAAACGTCTTTGTCTGACTCCCCACTAAAAGTTCATGGAGGCAGAAACCTGTCTGTGTCTGTACACCTTGTCTATGTGTCTTCAGCATGTAGGACTGTGCCTGGCACATAGTAGGTACGCAGTAAATAATTGTGGAATAAATAAATGATGTAAGAAAGGCATGAACAAATGAGCCCTCCTCTGGCTCTCATGCTGATGGAAACCCAGTGCTTAGGGGGACAACAACAGAGGAAGTGTCTGGAGAGAATCTTCAGCAATCATATACGGGAGAGTCTCACGCCCACTATCCCCATCCCTGGATAAGCCAAAAGTTGGCAGTATTTACTTAAAATCCTCGATATCAGTGATTTCCAGACTTTTTAGTTTAACAACCTTTCACTATATATTTAAATTAAAAATACTTCCTATTTTCTGAAAGAGTTGGAGTGTTGGTTTTTTTTCTTATGTAAAGTGTTTAGATAATCTTTGAAAATTTGAAATCATCTTCTGAGATACTTGGAGAGTTGTTATAGAGATTATAAAACCAGCTTTGGGAATGTTTCCCCATCTCACCTCTCAATATTGTATTTACTTTGAAGTTTCAGAGTTAAAATTTGAGATCCTTAAGTGGAGAAGGGTCCTAGGTGTCTGAGTGATTACAAACATCTCACATTCATCCAACATCCCCTCTGTTGGCATATCCCAGGCGTGTCCCTATGGTAAACAGACTATAAAAATCTATTTAATCAGCTAATCATTAAGCATTTATTGAGTGCCCATTTTGTGATAACTTTTGCAGATGCAAGAATGAATGTGGCATAATCCATGTCCCCCAGAAATGGATAGTCTGGGAAGAATAAATATTAAATTGAAAAAATAGAATATGTCTGAAAACATAGTAGCGGTGAAACTGCTAGTTCTCCCTGTGATGGCTGGGAGAAATTTTACAGACAAGGTGGCTTTTAAGTTAGATCATGAATTCTTAGATCTTTCTAGACACAGTGAGAAGGAAGGGAAGGGAAGGAGCCTTCTAAGCAAAGAGAACAGTAGATACCGACACAGTGTGGTGAGCCTGTGGGTGTCTGGGAAATTCAGTGGTGCATGAGCAGCAAGTGTGGGGAACAGAGCAGCTGGAAGTAAGGATGTTTGCCCTCGGAGAGCAAAGGGCCTTGCAGACCAGACTGAAGTTTGCCTTTTATCCTGCCTGGGAGGAGCCATTGGATGTCCTAAAATCAGACTGGGCTTTTAAGAAGGTAACCCTGATCCTGATATAGATAACTATAGAGGACAGATTAGAATGGAGATTAAGTATAAGCCTAATAGTGATTCCTATAGTCCAGAATAGCAAAAAGGCCTGGATTAATCTTGTGAAAATAAAGAAAAGCTGTATTTAAGAACCAGATTCAAAAGCCTTAAAAATGCTCATAGAGAACCGGAAACAGCGTGTGGGTCTCTTCCCTCTTTGGCCTTCGTAGGAGCGCCAGCGGTCAAAATGAAGTTCAATCCCTTTGTGACTTCTGACCAGAGAAAGAACTGTAAAAGGCATTTCAATGCACCTTCCCACATTCGAAGGAAGATTATGTCTTTTCCTCTTTCCAAAGAGCTGAGAGAGAAATACAGTGTTCGATCCATGCCCATCCGAAAGGATGATGAAGTTCATGTTGTTCGAGGACATTACAAAGGGCAGCAAATTGGCAAAGTAGTCCAGGTTTACAGGCAGAAATTTGTCATCTACATTGAACAAGTGCAACAGGAGAAAGCTAATGGTACAACTGTTCATGTGGGCATTCACCCCAGCAAGGTGGTTATCAGTAGACTAAAGCTGGACAAAGACTGCAAAAAGGTCCTTGAACGTAAAGCCAAATCTCACCAAGTAGGAAAGGAAAAGGGAAGATACAAGGAAGAAACAATGGAGAAGATGCAGGACAGGAATAAAGTAATATTATATACAACTTTCATTAAAAAATTAAAATTAAAAAAAAAATGCTCCTAACTTTTGACCCTACTAGCATAAATCCTAAGGAAATGACCCACAATATAGAAATACGTTTTGGATACAAAATGTTCTTTCATCATTTTATAAAGCGTCTACTTTATAATAGTTCAAAGTTGGCAATCCAATAAGGGAATAGTTCAATATATTAACTACTGATATAATGTAACAATAACAATATTATGAAAATAATTGAAAATTACAATAGTGAGTTTTTTGTGTAAGAAGAAATGCTATGTCAAAAGAAGTAAGATACCAAATTGTATGTACCTTAACATCTCAATTATGCATATTTTCAGCTTTTTTTACAATGACATATATTACTTTTGACTTCAGAAAAACACATTGTTTTAAAAGAAAACAGGAAATTTAGAGAGAGCGTGGGGGTAATTGAGGGCATGGCTGTTTCTGGAGTTCTGGCTGTCACTGTATATTAGGACTTTAGGTGGCAGTGTGAGACCATGTCTTTACTAATAACTATTTACCGACCGGTTTGCTGTCTTTAATTGGCTTGAGGAGATTACCTTCCCTGCTCTAAGTAAGTCATTCTAGTAGGAAGCCCACAAGGGCAAACAACTAACCATGATGCCATGGTCGTCAGTGTTAGAGGGATGTGCAAAGCCTTACGAGAGCAGGAGGAAGAAGCAACCAGCTCCTTGTGGGTAGTCTGGGAAAACATGAGCTGGGCCTCAAATCATGAGTAATAATAGTGGCCACCATTTATGAAGTACTGTGTGTCTGGCACCATAAATATTTTTTTTCTAATCCCTTCCCAACCCATTAATTCAACAAATATGACTTGAGCACCTTCCATGTACCTAAAAAACTAGGTTCAAGGATCTAGCATTGATCAACACAGACAAAAATCTTCGCTCTCATGGAGCTTACATTCTAATAAGAATAAAAAGAAAACTGAGTCTTATGGTCACTTGCCTAAATTATGAAGATAATTGAAAATTACAGACTGAAGTTGGACTTGAACTCATAGTAATCTAAACCCATTCACTGGATGGGGAAGAGGGAGCAGCAACTGCTGGAAATAAGGAACAGCCTGGTAAAAGCATAGAGGCAAGGGCACATGGTGTGTTCAGAGAATAGGGACCAGTGTGCTAGGGCCAGAACATCGAGAGACCTTGGGGACCAGACTCTCTAGAGTCCTTAGTGCCATGCAGAGGACCTGACCTTGTCCAGTAGAAGAATTGGTCACTTCTTGGAGGTGGTATGAGCAAGAAAGTGTCTGCTTATATAACAATGTTGGACAACTTGCATGGACCTCCATGACTTTTTTACAAGGACAGCAATATATTTATAGTCTTTTTTTAATTATTATTACTGATTTTTGGGGGGGCAGGGGAGGAGAGAGAGAGAGAAACATCGATGTGGAAGAGACACATCAATCAGGCCTCCTGTACATGCCTCAAGCCCCAGCCAAACCCACAACCTAGGTATACGCCCTGACCAGGAATAGACCTTCTGGTGCATGGGACAACACTCCAGCCAACTGAGCCACACCAGCCAGGGCCATTGGTTGATTCTTGCATGTGCCCTGACTGAGGCTCATACTCTCAACTTTGGTATATTGGATGACGCTCTAACCAACTGAGCTACCCAGCCAGGGTGACAACAATATATTTAGAGGTGTTCTCATGATTGTCTCTTGGTACTTGCTGTTATTGTTATTTTATTTTTTTGTTATTGTTATTTTTAATCCTCGCCCAAGGATATTTTTTCTATTTGTTTTTTTTTTGGGGGGGGTGGGGGGGGAGTGGAGAGAGAAGCATGGATTGGTTGCCTCCCGCACGTGCACCAACTTGGGCGGGGATAGAACCTGCAACCCAGGTACATATCCTTAACCAGAAATCCAACCTGTGACCCTTCAGTGTATGGGTTGACACTCTAACCACTTAGCACCACCGGCCGGAGCATGTTGGTACTTTTAAAATCTTGCCATAGAATTAGGAAAAATATCTTTGTTATATAGGTGCCTTTTGCTGGTATATTCAACGGTATAATGTGGTTTCAGAGGAGCAAAGAAATTCCTTTGGAAAAGCTATCAAGAACCAGTGAGGCCTGGCTAGAGTGGCTCAGTAGTCCTGTGCACCAAAAGGTTGCCGGTTTAATTCCAGGTCAGGGCACATATAGAAGGCAACCAATCTCTCTCTTCCCCTCCCCTCCCCTCCCCTCCCCTCCCTCCCCTCTCCTCTCCTCTCCTCTCCTCTCCTCTCCTCTCCCTCTCCTCTCCCTCTCTCCTTCTCTCTCCCCCCCCCTCCCTTCCTCTCTCTAAGCATGTCTTCAGGTGAGGATTTTTAAAAAGTGAGCTTTTTCCCCTCATATTTTGAGATCAGAGGTAATTTACTTAACATTCTGGTCCTGGAGTAAATACTTATGTGATTGGTCAGCTATTTTCAACACTATTTTTCCACCTCAAGCAATGTCCAGAATCTGGGTTTGATGAAATGTTTTCATGTACATGAAATAGAAAATGGATCTTAGGGAAGTGACCCGTTATCTTGCCTTGTTTTTGCTTGTGAAATTTGGAGATTTTTTCACACTTTGAGACTATGGTCTCAGCTGATAGTTTTAACTGATCTTGGGACTTGAGGGAAGCTTTTAAGATTGTTCACTAGAGAGTCATAAAAGGCCAGCAGCCCCCTCCCAGTGAACAGGTGACAGACAAGTCTCTTTAGGGAACAAAGCCACATAGTCTCTCCAGCCCTTCTGCAGAGCCCCTGCGGTTTTCCTCGGGTTCTACAGCCTCAGGGGCAGATTCTGGGTGGCTGGTGCCTGTGAACTCCTGCTGTCAGGATAACAAAGCCGCACAGTCAGCCCGTGCAGACGCACCTGAGTGGATCGGCCCAGTTTCCACAGTTAAGTGGGAGCATCATAAATCCAAATTTTGACAGATCTCAATCATTTCCGTTACTACAACTTTCTTTTCTTGGCCACAGTTCGCCAGTGATTCCAGATGAATTCTAGGTGCTGCTCAAGCTGTCATCCAATCCATGTACATAGCTCCTCACATTTCCCAGCATGCACCTCCATGTAGCCCTCTGCTTTCTAATGCAGTGCTTTCTCCTTGGCCTGTGCGTCCCAAGCCATCGTGGCTCTGTGCATCTTCATCCCACATTGACTCCCCGAGCCTCCTGAGAATGGCAGGATTGTCATTGAAGAAATGGAGGCATCAAGAAGTTGAATAACTCACCGTAGATGCAGAAGCCAGAGCTGGAACCCTGCTCCCCCGCTTCCCGTGACCACAGTGTTCATTGAGCCTCTTGCCTCTGCAGGACTCCCTTTCTCCAGTTTTGGTTATGGCTTTATTTTGTTTAGTTTAGTTTTGTTTTGTTTTTAAGTAAAACTTCACCTCATTGTGATAGTTTTACACTTAAATTTTTGTGTTTGATATGTTTTCAAAATCATTTCAGTATTTTGACCCCCCGTTTTTGTTATGATCAGCACACATCTTCTCTTTATCTAACCTTTTTTATTTTGTCCATGACCATCCTACATTGCAGGCTTCTCAACCAGATGAGTTGACCATTGAGGAACATGAGGTGTTAGAAGTGATTGAAGATGGAGATATGGAAGACTGGGTAAAGGTATATTCCTTTGCTCATATCGCCCCTTCTTGTGACATTTTTAGGAGTGTGTTTCGGTTCTTGCTACGCTCTGTCCAGATTGTGTGTGCAAACCTGTTTTGTCACATGTCTTTTACTCAGGCTCGAAACAAAGTTGGTCAAGTGGGGTATGTGCCAGAAAAGTACCTCCAGTTTCCCACCTCCAACAGTCTCCTGAGCATGCTGCAGTCCCTGGCTGCCTTGGACAGTCGGTCGCACACATCCAGCAACTCCACGGAGGCCGAGCTCGTGTCAGGCAGCCTCAACGGAGACGCCAGTGGTAAAGACTGAAATAAGGCACTCTTTATCTGTCGCATTTGGCCTAAACTGTATTCCCCAGAGTCAACCTTCAGCAGATTAAAAAGCACAACTCCATTCCTGTTCTATAGCATGTTTGCCTTGATTTGGCCACTTTTATTCTTTATTGTAGACCCCTTAGGTTGATCTTCAGTGGGTAAGAAGTAAAGCTGTCCTCCTGCTCTGCACAGTGCCCTCTTGGTCCTCACACGCGCGTAGGGGAGGTCGCGAGTAGCCTGGCTGTCGTCATTCTCACTGCATTTCTCTCTCTCTTGCCACCTAGTCTGTTTCGTGAAAGCACTTTATGACTACGAGGGTCAGACGGAGGACGAATTATCTTTTCCTGAGGGAGCAATCATCCGAATCTTGAACAAAGAAAACCAAGATGACGATGGCTTCTGGGAGGGAGAATTCAGTGGGCGGATTGGAGTTTTCCCATCGGTGCTCGTGGAAGAACTTCCAGCCTCAGAAAATGGTGACACTCCAGGGATGAGAGAGATTCGGGTACGTGAGAAGAGAGAAAGCTGAGCTAAGATATTTAAAGAAAATGACTCCCAAGGGGTCTGTGGACCCACGCAGAAGTGGGCTGCGGTCTCAGCCTCACCCTCACCACTCCAGTCCTCAGTTGTCAGGTTTCTGCAAAACCAAATTTTGTTTTTGTAAAGGCTGTAAAGGCTGTGTCACACCTCTCCTCTCCCACATTCTGTTCTCCGAATCCATTAACCAAAATGCTAAATTGTATGTGACATTGTATGAGGAGAAACGGAAACAAACCAGAGAGGGAATGTATTCTCTCTGTGGTTAGTTTCTGTGGTAAAAATATTAGCTTGCTTTTTCGCTCCCTCACTGTCAGCCTCCTGCCAGCCCAGGGTGTGTCGGTCCATTTCAGAGAATTGATGAGCCTGCCAAAGCCCCATTATATTCGTGGCCCTGAGCTTAGCTCATTATAGCAGAACCTGCCTTTACAGGAAACCCCTGATTGGGATCTATCATGGCAGGCCCAGCAGGGCCAGGGCCATAAGGAACATGTCCTGTGTGTATGATATGACCCCTTAGCCCCGTGGTCGGCAGACTGCGGCTCACGAGCCACATGCGGCTCTTTGGCCCCTTGAGTGTGGCTCTTCCACAAAATACTGACTTCTGCACATGGGCCACGAAGTTTTAATCGCACTGTACGTGCGCGCCCGCACGGGGTATTTTGTGGAAGAGCCACACTCAAGGGGCCAAAGAGCCGCATGTGGCTCACAAGCCGCAGTTTGCCGACCACTGCCTTAGCCTGACATCTACGAGAGCTGGGGATGTCAGAAACTCTGCCAGTTATTTTATTTTTCACACACACCGAAAAACACAACTTGTCCCCTTTTTTGTTCTTCATTGAATTTACTGACTTGACTAATTTGGTATGTTTTTAATGGAACTCTAGAGAATGATTTGACTTGATAACTGTTTTAAGATGAACTAATCAATGGTATAATGCAGTCTATGAGAGGAAAAAGATTTAAGCAACACAAAATTAGGGTTTAGGGTGTTTAATCCAGGCTCTTGTGCTTCTAATGAATCTGACCAAAAAAAGTCAACAGTCATAACTCAGCTCCAGAGAAAAGTAACTTGTCTGAAGTAGTCAGTCAGAGAAGCTGGTCTGTCCTTCCTGAGTAAGCACTTTGTAACCTTCCTTCCCTTCATGGCAGATCTCTCCATCCCCCAAGCCGCCCGGCTCCCTGCCGCCACTACCACTGTATGACCAGCCTCCCAGCAGCCCCTACCCCAGCCCAGACAAGAGGAGCTCCCAGTATTTCCCCCGCTCTCCTTCAGCAAACGGTAAGGGTTCTCCTGGACACGGGTCAAAATGGATTTTCACTCAGAAACTCACTTGTTCACTGGAGGGCAAACATCTGCATTAGCATTCTCATTGCTCAAAACCACAAGTAGCCCTAACCGGGTTGGCTCAATGGATAGAGCGTCGGCCTGTGGACCGAAGGGTCCCGGGTTTGATTCCATTCAAGGGCACATGCCCAGTTATGGGGCTCAATCCCCAGTAGGGGGCATGTAGGAGGCAGCCAATCAGTGATTCTCTCTCATCATTGATGTTTCTATCTCACTTTCCCTTTCCCTTCCTCTCTGAAATCAGTAAGAAAAAAATAAAAACACAAATAAAATGAGCTTCTTTGGTTCCCTCCCTTAGAAAATAGCGTCCATGCCGAATCGCCGGGCTTCTCACAGCCACCAAGGCAAACTCCTGAGACCTCATATGGCAAGCTGCGACCTGTAAGTCTCTTATCTGGGAGGGCTATCTTCCAAATTGAACATTAGAAATTAGTGTTTCTCCATGGCCCATTTTGTTACTAATTCCCCTATATGAAGGTAAGATGGGTATGGGAAGGTAAAAAGGTCTTGAAAAAAAAGAGTATAAAAATCAACACATTGGCCCTAACCGATTTGGGTCAGTGGATAGAGCATCAGCCTGCGGACTGAAAGGTCCCAGGTTCGATTCCAGTCAAGGGCATGTACTTTGGTTACGGGCA